ATTTGTTTTGGATATTATTTACTATTACAAAGTATTCAATATTTTACTTAATTTAATAACAAAAAGTATGATGCAAAATGCTTCGTATATTCCATAGAGTTAATCTGGATTTACGTTATACATTTAACGATATAATTATATTTTGTCTATTGATAAATTTGGCGAGAGCGGAAATATACGAAGTGTATACGATTTATATACCGTTTTATTTATACATCTAAATTGAGATGTCGCGAATAGAGAGAGAGAGACTACTACAAACACGCGGAGCAAACATGTGCAAAGGTTGCCCTCGTGTAGATGGCCCAGTGCGATAGTTTGAACGACGTCGATCCTCGATAATAAGGCGCCCGGATGAGCGGCAACGAGGGGCCATTGATGCGGAGACTCGCATCCCTCGCTTATCAACGCCGCTTATCGGCATTGCCCCTATAGGTTTCGCCGCGACACGCGCTCGCCTCCTGTTTAACGTTTACATCGCAACGACGCTATTCAAAGTTTCCGGGAATATATTTCCGCGGAGAATTCGCGTAGAATAATCCTATTTCGTTTTCCTGCTTCGTGTATCGTATCGTATCGTATCGTATCGATCGACGACATCGGTCGTTCGAAAGACAAGTGCCCGTAGGTGCGTTCGTTTCGCACACACCGATAAGTGCAGCGACATCGGATGACACACACGGGACAGTTGGTATTTCGAAGTTACGACTCTGACGGACAGGACGGGATAAAAGCTTATACCTTTCCAATTGAATTGATGCTCCGAAAGTGTGCGTCGGGCAGAGAGATAGGCAATGCGACACTGAAGTGATAGCTCCGCGAGTTTGTCCGTCCGCGTTATTTGTAACGTGAAACAGAGCGACACACATCGCGAGAATGTTTCTCGTAAAAATATGTCGCGCGCGAGTTTTTCGTGAGAGAGAGAGAGAGAGAGATATGACTTTTTCTTCTTTTTTTTGCGAATTCTCTGGCGGGAAAATATTATTTTTCTAGGGAGAGATTGGGAACGCACAGAGAATCCCGGCTTTTTTTTCGCGTGCGCGATGTGGCGGAAATTTTACCGACGAGAGAGGGAATATATATATATATATATATATATATATATATATATATACATATATACTTTTATATGGCTGCGTGTTAACACTCTCGCGTAATATTCATATATTGGAGATAGTATATTATTTATTTTTCAATGATGTTGCGCGTTATGAATCAATGAACGACCCGATAAAAGCTTCACTCCGACATTACTGCATGAATATTTCTGTTAATCGCACGACAGTTTTATTTCTCGCGTTTTTATTAATAATTCCGTTTTGCTCGCGAGAGATTACTTCGACGGAAAATTAAATATCTATATATTATTATTATTATTATAATTATTATCATTCTCGTATCAGTGATATGTCAACGTAAAATATATATGTCACGACGATTCGACGTATCGGAGTGCGACCGCCGGAATTTCAGTCCGCCGAAAACGACCCGGAATTTCGCAGTGTGAATGGAGGCTGCCAGGGTAACACTCGGTGTAGGTAACACGCTACAGGCCGCGTTTCGTTCCGCCATGAATTCCAATCCCGGTTAAAACTCCCGTACAAGGTGCAGCAGGCTGGAATTCCTTCCTCTGATACTCCCACTCTTTTCCTCATCTATCTCCATTTAGGTGATAAATGAGACGGAATTACATGTATTTACTATATACGTATGACGACAATGCAACGGTATATATATATAACGATATTATATATATATATATATATAATAATTAGCGCTAATCAGTCAGAGTAAAGGTGAAGAAATTCTGCAGCTATATCGGGTTTAAATTGCTTGTAATATTTTATGTTTCTAGCGAGAGATAGCCGTGTTTATTTATTGTTGCTACGAACATTTTCTCCCCCTAGAATAAACTTTGTTGCTCTTTCTCGAAAGACTCGGTAAACTCGAACTTCATCGGCGTAACGATAATGGGGCGCGACGACGCCCGGAGGAAAACAATATGTAAATCGTTCGGTGCATCCCAATCAAAGTCGGAATCCGCGCTGCACCGTGCACCGGCGAGTTTCCGCGCTTGCCTAACGACGCAATCTAAATTCTGAAGGCTTGCTTCTCGAAGTACGCCAAGGTATATATCGCCGATTGGATAGAGAAAATCCATGTTGCGGCGAAGAAAGCTGCCGGGCGAGAAAGGAAGGGGATATGATTTTCCAAGAAAGGGCTTGCGCGAGTCGCATTGGGGATGGACCGTTTCGTTTGCCTGCAGCGATTTCACTAACTTCGACGACGATAGTGTGTCTTTTTGATCCCGTTTTGTTGGCGCAACATGAATTCGTCCGTTTCGTATATATATATAAGAATCGAGTTTACGGGAAATGCGAAACTTTTTCGTGTATTTGTGAATAGAAAAGGAGATTGGCTCGACTTTCAAACGGGTCGTCTCTCTGCGGTCTGTGAACGAAAATAATTTCAAAATACTCGATATAAAAATCATATATATATATGCCGGAAAACGAAAACAATAGAAGGAATTGGTCGGTTTTTTATTTATAACAAGTGTACATATTTTTACAAGTTTTTTTCGTAACATGATACTGCGGGGAGAAAAATATCAGGTTTGTATTATTTCTGCAATATAGCACAGCAAATATCACATAATCCTCGTATAAAACGAAATATTTTGTTATAAAATGAAATATATATATATATATATATATATAACAGGATTATTTTCATATATACTATTGTTTCGCTTCGGGGGAAAAAATATCAGGTTTTAAAATTATTTTTATACGTTATATGCGAATGGAATTAATTTAATTTTTAATTTAGATTTTACTTGGGAAATAAAATTAATATTCCGTTCGTAATTCTGTACGTTTGCGAATAGAATTGACGATAAAAGGCACGATGCGTCATTAGAGCTGAAAGGATTAATCCATCTGAGATACTGAAAAAGAAAAAATCACCGCATGAATTATTCCTTTCGCGCGGTGAATTAGAGAAACAGGTGAATCCATTCATTTGGAATTCCTCATCTGGAAGTCGGTGATCATCAGCCACGTCGATTACGCGAGATGCAAATGTCTATCAGACGCGCGCTTATATTTTGCATGTCGATCGGGAGGGTCTGGTTTTGCACGACGCGACGTATCTTCCGCTGTACAGCAACAAAAAAAGAAGCGCCTGCGTTTCGGATCGCTTGTATATACACGCGAATTCATGAATAATTCACGAATGCGCGAGTTGTTCGCATTCTGAGAATATACGCGCGGTCGCGTATATGTGTTACAAATATACGACGCGAAATCGGGATTCGTGGGAATCGTACGCATGAGCCAAGTCGTAATAAAAACGAACGAAAGCACGAAGCAGATAAAGTGTCACGTTGGATGCACGACATTTCTTCTTTTGACTGAATGGCGTCACTCTTTTTCCGACGTGACGCAACAAATTTCTTACATATGAGAAATCCAGAAAATATATTTTTATCAAAGCATATATTATTTCTGAAATATATACAAGTATATTATTTATATTAAGTAAATAATTTATTAAATAAAATGGAACAAAGTTACCACCAAATTGTGAAAAACTATGAAATCTCAAACATAAAAGAAACATATATTCGATTGAATTTATACAGTGACAATTTTTCTGCGTGATTAATTATCGATATATTGTCGGTGTTACTTATATTTACGAATCGAGCAATTACGCGTGACTTTAAGTAATTACACGAGGCGCGACGTGTAATATGAAAATGTCCAAAGCGGATTCTTGTTCGAGGCATTGAAGTGTGCAAGAACGTTCTTGAGCGACAACGTCGAGGTTTGGCGCTTGTTATCGCGCTTCAATCTTCGCGAAATGAGAGGAGAAGAAAGCGAAAGGAGTCGACTATCGAAGTAGACGTAACTGTACGGCGCGTTCCGACTATAAATTCCGATCGCATTATCCCGGCCGAGTAGATTCTCGTCGATTTACGATCGCGCAAGCATTTCTCTCTTCCCTCGCGCGTATGAACACGAAAATAATATCTATCGCCTCGATAATCTCTTCGGGACGCGGAAAAATATGTATTTCATATTCAATATTGCAAGTGATCTCAATCGTGCGCGAACTGCCATTTCATAGATGATTATTTTCTGAAACCTTCTATGTACTCTACGTAAGAAGAAGAGAAACTGATATAATAAACAGCACACGTAGCGTAATACATATTTTAATAACGTATAAAAATATTATGCGATATTATGCTAGGCATATAAAGTACCGCGATCGTGTTTCAACAATCGTAAAAGTAATGGAAAGGAAAATGAAAGCCCGAGATAGACATAATTCTCTTATAAAATCGTTGTTATAAATTCTATTTGTTACGAGTTGATTGTAATATTCGTATGAATTATTAACCTACAACAGATATTATTTAGACATTTTTCTTTCGTTATTCATTTTCGCGTATAATACGCACGATGACAAATATTTAGATCTCATCAAGGTATTAAATTTTTCATCGAGTTTATATACCTGCAACATGAAAAATTGAACTGTCATTGATCTTAGCTACCCCCTCGCCTTCTCTATTAAAAAGTACTTGTAAACATCGCGACGAAGTAATATAAAAAGTTCTGGACTTTGAGAAGCGGATCATCGCTAAATATTGACGTGTAAATTATCAAGAGGGAGTAAGCGCTTCATTGAATAGGGTGTTCAATATTACCGGCGACATTGAGGCCGGTGAACGAAGAAAAATTTAGCGGTAATCTCTAGAGAGAAAGAGAGTGAGAGAGAGAGAGAAAGGTTGGACGAAGCAATTCCCTCGGTGGTTCTCTTTCACGTTGTAGACGTTGCTCGCTTTATGTGCGCTTCTTTGACGTATGTACCAGCAAAAGCTGCTCTCCTTCTTTTTCTCTCTCTCTCTCTCTCTCTCTTTCTCGTTCGCTTTCAACCCCTCATTGCCCTTCGTCGCACTTGTCTCGTCTACCACCCACACCACTTACCCCGTCTTTTCATCTCGTATCTCATCTTTCTTCCACGCCGGACTGAGAGTCCGCCGTACAATCGTCGCGGAAAGTTTTCGTCTAGAGATTTCGACGGGGTCCGCCTTTTCTCCTGTTGCAATATCCCTTCCTCGTCGACCACTATTATTCCCTTTGCGTGAACCATCCCGGAAGAACTCCGGGATGAAATCCTTTCCTTTTCAAATTTCTCATCGCGTAGTATCGTTAAAAAACGATACATCTTCGCGATAATTAACGAAAGCTCCTCCGTTTTCTATACATATGCGGAAACGGATGAAAACCATTATCGATCTCGCGAGCGAGACGCACCTCTATAGTCCCTCCTTTTTTTTTTTTTAATCACCAATATAACGTACAAAATACCATCGACGTAACTGTCCCATGTGCTGTTTTACTTGGGCTTGTACAGAGCCGGCTTTTTTCGGCCGCTTTTATCTCGATCTGCATTTTCCGTCCGCAATTAGCGCTGCATCCCGAGCTCTCCGATGTTGCATTCGTAATATTTCGCGTCGGCATATATGTATGCATGCATGCATGTATGTACGTATGCGGTCGTTCCCCGGCGTATGCGATGCGGAGGTGGTATGCGCCTGCCGAAAGAATTTACGATCGCAGCAGTACGCGCCGGGCGTTCCGTTGTCTGATTGCACGCGAGCGTAGCTTTGCCGTCGCCGGTCTCTTTCTTCTCTCTCTCTCTCTCTCTCTCTCTCTCTCTCTCTCTCTCTCTCTGTCTCCATATAGGGGTGAGTTTGGTCGCGCGGCGACTACTCGCCGGAATACGGCCGCGGAGTAAAGATGCCGCGGAGAGATAAAAGAAAGCGCACGAAATTGCAGATACGGAAAACGACGTAGTAGTATGGTGGTGTAGTCGTAAGCGGATGCTGCGGATCCAATTCGTGTTGCTCCACGTGTATAGCAACGAATTATTAAATATTCAGTTTACACGAGCGCGGGCGTGTAAAGAGCCGAGCTAAAAATTTCACTTTGCGCGCACACATGGCGGGTGCTCTTTTGTTTTATTATTATTATTTTTTTTTTCATTATTATCGAAAAGCCGACGCGCGACTGTACAGTGTGGTATATTAGTTTTCGAAATAACGACGCGCGACGGCAATAAATATATAAATGTGTCGGCGCGTATTGTTTCTCGCCGATGAACGTAATATAGATCGTAACGCGAGGGAGGAGAAAACGACGTTCGCGTCATTATTCTCGATTCGTGCGAGCGCGTGAATGCCATTTGAAATCGAAATTTGCGTAATCGTCGGAGGGATTTATTTATATGTCAATTTTGACGGAAACTAGTGTAGGCGAATTATTATTCTACCGATATTCATTTATATATACGCGTGAGCGGCGAATTGCGTTTCCTCTCCCCCCCCTCTACCGCTGGCGACGCTGCGTAAGAAAGAAGGGAGAAGGTTAAGAGGTCAGTTCCTCGCAGAGTGCGAGCCGTCGTGCGTGTCCTATCGAGTACAGCTTAACCTAATAAGATCCTTTGTTAAGATCCACTAGAAGCCTTATTAGAATTACGCCCTGACATCATCTAAAACTATCCTGACACCACCTACAACTTCAGAAGTGGGATCGAAGAAGAAGTTAGCGAAGGATCCGTGAGGTTAATACACGCACGAGAGATACACGGGACTTTGAAAAGTACGACCAAGTGTTGTGGTCGATGCAGAGAAAACCGTGTCTTGTGTTACTCGAGTAGAAAGACAGAATATTCCGCGCTGTGTGCCACGAATATTTTGAAGGTTATTCGCGCTGTGTGCCGCGAATCTTTGCTCGTGCTAAAAGACAGAATATTCCGCGCTGTGTGCCACGAATATTTTGAAGGTTATTCGCGCTGTGTGCCGCGAATCTTTGCTCGTGCTAAAAGACAGAATATTCCGCGCTGTGTGCCGCGAATCTTTGCTCGTGCTAAAAGACAGAATATTCCGCGCTGTGTGCCACGAATATTTTGAAGGTTATTCGCGCTGTGTGCCGCGAATCTTTGCTCGTGCTAAAAGACAGAATATTCCGCGCTGTGTGCCACGAATATTTTGATGGTAATTCGCGCTGTGTGCCGCGAATCTTTGCTGCGTGCAAAAAGACAGAATATTCCGCGCTGTGTGCCACGAATATTTTGACGGTTATTCGCGCTGTGTGCCGCGAATCTTTGCTGCGTGCTAAAAGACAGAATATTCCGCGCTGTGTGCCACGAATATTTTGACGGTTATTCGCGCTGTGTGCCGCGAATCTTTGCTGCGTGCAAAAAGACAGAATATTCCGCGCTGTGTGCCACGAATATTTTGATGGTTATTCGCGCTGTGTGCCGCGAATCTTTGCTGCGTGCTAAAAGACAGAATATTCCGCGCTGTGTGCCACGAATATTTTGACGGTTATTCGCGCTGTGTGCCGCGAATCTTTGCTGCGTGCAAAAAGACAGAATATTCCGCGCTGTGTGCCACGAATATTTTGACGGTTATTCGCGCTGTGTGCCGCGAATCTTTGCTGCGTGCTAATTGTTCCGCCGCGTACGAGAGGAAGCGAGTCCACGTATCGCGCGCGGTGAATCGACGCGTAACGCGATATCCCTGTGAGATAGAATATTCCGCGCTGTGTGCCACGAATATTTTGATGGTTATTCGCGCTGTGTGCCGCGAATCTTTGCTGCGTGCTAAAAGACAGAATATTCCGCGCTGTGTGCCACGAATATTTTGACGGTTATTCGCGCTGTGTGCCGCGAATCTTTGCTGCGTGCTAAAAGACAGAATATTCCGCGCTGTGTGCCACGAATATTTTGACGGTAATTCGCGCTGTGTGCCGCGAATCTTTGCTGCGTGCTAATTGTTCCGCCGCGTACGAGAGAAAGCGAGTCCACGTATCGCGCGCGGTGAATCGACGTGTAACGCGATATCCTTGTGAGATAGAATATTCCGCGCTGTGTGTCGCGAATATTTTGACGGTAATTCGCGCTGTGTGCCGCGAATCTTTGCTGCGTGCTGAAAGACAGAATATTCCGCGCTGTGTGCCACGAATATTTTGACGGTTATTCGCGCTGTGTGCCGCGAATCTTTGCTGCGTGCTGAAAGACCGAATATTCCGCGCTGTGTGCCACGAATATTTTGACGGTAATTCGCGCTGTGTGCCGCGAATCTTTGCTGCGTGCAAAAAGACAGAATATTCCGCGCTGTGTGCCACGAATATTTTGACGGTAATTCGCGCTGTGTGCCGCGAATCTTTGCTGCGTGCTAATTGTTCCGCCGCGTACGAGAGGAAGCGAGTCCACGTATCGCGCGCGGTGAATCGACGCGTAACGCGATATCCCTGTGAGATAGAATATTCCGCGCTGTGTGTCGCGAATATTTTGACGGTAATTCGCGCTGTGTACCGCGAATCTTTGCTGTGTGCTAATTGTGCCGACGTGTGTCGCGAACATTTAGACTGAGGTTAAACATTTATTAACACGTCGCTGTGTGCTAGGACGTATAGAAAAGGGAAGTGCAGTGTGTCGCTAACAATGGCGAGACCGCCGAGTGCGTATACGCTTGCCGAGATTAAGGACATTCTCCGCGAGAAGAAGTTGCCGGCGACCGGTAACAAAGCTGACCTGATAGATCGATTGACTGCCAATGACCCGGAGATATGGACCACACTGGATGAACAGAGGTCACGGCAGAGCCGCGGTGTCGATCAGCCGATTGACGCGGGCCATGAATCGAGGGATGCCGTCGCGGGCAAGGACAATGAAAGCCAAGTAAGTAACGACGCATCCGTTGAAGGTCCTTTGACTGAGAATGACTTGATTCGACGAGAAAATGAACTACTTAGAAGAGAACGAGCTCTTCTTCAACGTGAATTAGATATCGTTAGACGAGAGAACATCGAAGATCATGGAGCACCGCAGATGAATGATGGCGGAAGAAGACGTAATGGTCCACCGATGAGCGAAAGTGTAAGGGCTATTCGCGACTTGTTGAGCGAATTCGACGGCAGTGAGGGTACGTTCTGGAAATGGGAACAGCAGGTACAATTGCTGCGAGTGTCGTACGCCTTGGATGATGCTGCGACAAGAATTTTAATAAGCTCTAAATTAAAAGGACGTGCATCCGAGTGGTTTCACTCCAAACCACATCATCTTACCCTTGGTATAGAAAATCTATTGGCGGCCATGAAGGGAATGTTCGACCTTCGTCAATCAAGATTGTCCCTACGCAAGAAGCTCGAAGAGAGAGCATGGCGGACGGACGAATCATTCACGAGTTACTTCCATGATAAAATAATCCTCGCTAATAGGGTACCGATAGTAGATGACGAAGTTGTCGATTATGTCATCGAGGGTATACCTGATCGCAATCTCAGAGATCAAGCACGTATTATGCAGTTCGAGTCTCAGTCGGATTTGTTGGAGGCATTTAAAGGATTGACGCTACACCCGAAGAAGTTCCCTGATCGCGAATGGAAGAAACCTATTGATCAAGGAAAAATCCAAAAGGATGGGAAATTGTCGACGAAGGAGAGTTCAGCGTTTAAAGGAAATCCAGCATCGTCGAGTGCAGATTTGGCACCACGCCGAAAGATAATTAAATGTTATAACTGCCAGGGAGTTGGACATCTGGCATCCGCATGTTCACACCCGAAGAAAGTTAAGGGAGGCTGTCATCGATGTGGTTCAGCCAGCCACTTGAAAAAAGACTGTCCCGAGAAAGAGTCGAAACCCGAGTCGACGAACGTTGTGAACTTGATCGAACCGATACCCGTTAGCGATCCGTATTGTGTACAGTTAAAGTTTTCGGTGTCCTTTGAAGGGGATATGGATCGTGAATATACAGTAGACGCGATAGTTGATCCCGGCTCCCCAGTGAGCCTCATAAAAACTGAGTATGTTCCGACGAGTTTGCGCGAACCGCTACCTCCTAACGGCGATTGTTTCTGTGGAGTAAATAAATCCCCTGTTCGCGTAGTAGGCACCTTTTCGAAATTAGTCGAAATCGAAAAAATTAATATTCAGCTACGTTTTCTGGTAGTACCGAA